ATTTGTAACACTTTAAGCAATTTTAAAAATAAAAAAAAAAACATCGATAAAAAAACTGATTACAAAAGCTTTATCCAAGAGAGCTGAGATGTTTTGGTATTTTGAATTGTTCATTAGTGCATAGCAAAACCAATATCCTAAAATTTTTCAAAAAAATTTTGATTTACTAAGTACTACTACTATTGTATGTATACCGTTCTAGTCTCAGATAAACTAATTTGATAAACTTTTTCGAAATTTATCAAATAGATGGAGTAGACAAAATGCTCCTGGAGTGGTATAATGACCAACAACTTAAAAAAAAACAGTGAGCGGAGCAGTATACCCTACACAACCATCTCGGAATACTAACTTTCTACGGATCTTTATTCCGTGCCTGGGTAACATTTCGCAATATTTGCAACCACTTGACGGATAAGAATTCAACAGCTACTCCTTTTTACCCTGGCATATTTTCGGAATATTTTTCCTGGGTTGAATTGAAAATTATAGGCGTCGTCTTGAACATAACCAGAACTTTGTGTAGAATTTAAAATGAATAAACGCTAAATATATGCTCTACAGAATAGCTATATCTCTTTAAATATTTACTTATAACTCCCGTATCCAAGTATATACGACAATATAATTGGTATCTATTAAAGGTCAACCTCTCCTCTAGTATATACAATCAATTTCTCGGGTCTATATCCTTCAGGAGTAAATATATTCATCATAGAATAGGGTCCGTTAAACATTGACTCCTAATAATTTTGAGCTACAAGAAAAACGGACAAAAATAAAATGTTAAATATATTCCGTAAATACGTTTATTACTTTCCAAGATCCGGAAATCCTATACTACAACTACTTTTGTATGAAAATCCGGTTATATGGCTGAAAATGGAGCGCCAGCGCTATACGGTAAATAATATAATGTCGAACCATACATCCGATATTAAATACCAAACCACCTAGGATTAATTGGCAAATCTCTATCTTAAATATTGTGTGTTCAATCATGATATGAACGGAATATAAATACTTTATGCGTCCTGAGATCTGTTATTTAAGGGACATACAAAAGCCGATATTAGAAAATTAGAAGTTGTAGATTTTACCTAAAAACCCTTGTGATTTTTTATGATTTTTTTATTCTTTTTGGTTACAAAATGGACATCTAACTACAGGGTTAGTTGACGATATGGGCTCAGAGTTTAAAATTTACTTAGATATAGCTTGATTCATCAAACGTGGCCTAGGAAATCATTATAATTTCATATGTCTATAGGTGGCCTTTATTCATATATTCAAACAATTGATTTAGATTCCCAGAGTAAAACTCAACATTGATATCCATCCATCGTAGCTATTTGATATGGCACCTCATATCTAGTTTTTTAGTTTAAAACAAAAATACTTATACACAGCTACATATAGACAATTCATTTGAATTCCAATTCAATATTGTACTTTTTTATTATTGAATATTCTTTATCAAGCCTAAAGTTGTTGATCTCTATTTCATTTTTACGAAAAAAGTACACAAGGATTATTAAATTGTAAAGAAATTCCATTGTTTTTAAACTATTGAAATATAGATTATATTACCGATAAGACTAAGACTATAAAATATAAAAAAAAACCTTTTTATATATGTAACAGATTATTTGTCTTGTCCTTAAGAAGAACATTCGTATAGATATGTGTGTATAACTTTCGTTTAATTGCCACAATAATCCCAAAAACTGTAGATTTATAAATTAAAATTTGTGTAACTAAGCAGCAAAGTACATAGAATGTACTTGAAAAGGAATTGCACCACAAGTATTGATTTAAACAATTATTGCTGCAATATCGTTTTGATTGAATTGAATTTTGCTTCAAATAAAGATGTCTACTTTTTTAAGAATATATAGCAATATAACTATATTACATATTGTATAACTGTAGTATTTTGTGAGCATTTAAAAATTGTGATATATTGCAAATTCTTGATTGGATATTTCAACATATCATTCATCGATTAAATTGACCTACATATATTATTTGTTCGTAGCATAATAAATGACATATTTGTAAATTTTTGTTTTTCGATATTGTCTTAATTTTCTATGGTATTGAAATAGGCTCTTATTGATATTATATGTGTTTTTTAATAATAGTATCAATAATCTATATCACTTTTCCATATCACAATTTGTTGTGGGTTAATTTGCGGTCACTGCATATCTCTGGTTTTATCGAAATGTTCTGTCCCTAGGACGTTCTCTTTTTTTATAAAAATAACTGAATTATAGTGTATTGAATATGACCATAACAAGTTCATGTGTTTACAGCTGGGTAAATATATTTTGCAGACATTGCATATTATGAGCATAATAATTGATAACAATTTAATTGAGTAGCATATCTCCTCCAGTAGGGCCATAGGCGTAATGTGAATTTAATACAATGTGTGCGATTTTTTTTAACGAAAAAAATATATTGAACCATTTTTTGTATACCCTTCACCACGCTGTGGTACAGGGTATTATGTCTTTGTGCATATGTTTGTAACAGTTAAAAGGAAAGACACAAGGTTCCTTTTAAGTATATGCATATATGAGTCGATATATGCATGTCCGTCCTTCTGTCCATGTTAAATTGTAAACAAAGTACAGGTCGCATTTATGATGCGAATTGGATTAAATCAGTTCAGATTTAGATATAGCTCCCATATATATTTTTGTCATGGCATGGCATACTGAATTGGGTCCACAATGATGTGTGATAAGTTTCGTGAAAATCAGGTCAGTTTTAGATATAACTCCCATATATATTTTCGTCCGAACTAAATCTGGAATGATGTGTGTTAAGTTTCGTGAACATCGGCATCTAAATAACGAAAATTTGCCTTAACAGTTATATGGGGTCTATATCAAAACATGGACCGATTTATCACATTTCCAATACCGAACATCCTGTGTGCAAAATTGCAAATTTCTATCTTTAATTTTGACGGACTGTTTGCAAGAATGACAATTTTAATATACACACCACCTTATAGCGCAGGATAAACAATAAATAAAAATCTCAACCTTTTTTTTTGGAAAACTTGGAATATTTTCTTAATTTTTTGGCGATTCTTTGGTTACCAATAACGGACCTAAATAAAAATTATAAAAATATCTCATTGTTATTTGCTCTACGGAGAAAAGAGAACTGCAACATTTTTTATTTTTCATTTAGATATATTTTGTGCAAAAATTTCAACTAGAATTTGGTATTTTAATTATCTCTTAAAATTGTATTGATAATTTCGATAACCACAATTTATTATGACTTGTTATTAATAAATCTCAAACAGTAGAATAAAATATAAAGACCTTGACAACCAATGCCTTTAAAATATCACCTCAACTCAATGTCATCCCAATTGGCCAACATCATCAGCACCGTTACTCGACGTCATTAATATTTAATTAAATATTTTCTACTTTCATTTAAAATCAGTTTTGTAAAATTAAAATGTTACAGACCAACCAAATGGATGATGATTGGTGGCCGAACGATTGATCCTAGTCAATTGACTTGCAATCCACATTGAAACGATTACTGGTTGACTGTGAGGCCGTCGTCATCGTTCTCGTTGTTGGTGGTGGTGCTATGATGATGTTGGCTTGGAGACGTTTGTTGGTTTGCAGTAAATGTTGAAAATCCGTGTAAGTAGATGTAGGCCGAGTAACAAGGGTATTGAAAAGTCATTACATAAATTTGTGGCAAATGTTTTGTATGTATCTGAAATTGACCGCAAATGTTGTGCAAACAGAGTTGAGGAATGATCAATGCACAGCATTAAGGTTTATCATTAAGTGCAGGCACAATGGGATGTGTACTACCTTTGAATTTGTGTCCTCAAATAAATAATTAAACCGAACCATAATTCAACACATATTGATATTTATAGTAGACATTGATTGATGAATGATATTTCGAACATTTGTGGCTAAAATACAAGACTTGTTATTTTTCCCGAAATATTTTTCTACATTTCTTTTTTTTTCTAGTAAATAACAAAAAACAAGCAAAAATACGTAATGTTCCCTTTATTTACAATCATGGCAGATTGAACTTTCGTTAATTATTCTAAAATAAAAGAGGAGGATGAACAAAAAATGTTTTTATTTTTATAAAAAAATATTCTCTTATGAGAATGCAAAATCCGAAACTGCAACTGCTGGGAAAATCGACGGGATTTCAAATTACCATCGAGGGGGTTTTTTATTTGTGAAAAATCTAAATCCTAGATTACCAAAATTAGAATTGAAAATGCGACTAGGGTCCCCAATATACCTATGAGTTGTAAAAACATAGAAATTGAATGTCAGATTACAGCCACATTCATTATAAGATGTATGTGGGACCTATAGAACACTAGACGTATATTGGAAATATTATGCCAGGCGCGTCCCCATATTGAACATTTTTTTTTTCATTATTACTAATTTAAGTAAAATATAGCGTTTTATAAATCTGGTAGGCCTATATTTAGACCTTTTATATGAATTTAAATACCTCTCCTCAGATTATTCGATATGCAAAATTTAAACTTCATTGAAAAACTACGTTGATACCATAATACAATATTCTAAAATATTATTTGGACTTTTCCTATAGCTAATTTGCTAAAAATACCTGTGGTCATTTCTCAATTAATGCAACCCTTGTGTTTCTCGCAACATTATCCCACACTTTGAACTTCTTTCTTCCATTGTGTTTGGGAAAACTTTTAACCAATTAAATCAAAACTTAACATAAAGGTAATTGATGATAGTCGAGGCAACAAAGTTGTTGTTTTTCTTTCTGTTTTGTTCATCCTTCTCTTTTATTTTAGAATAATTAACGAAAGTGCAATCTGCCATGATTGTAAATAAAGGGACGCTGCTGCTATAGATGAACAACAACACAAAGAACTACAGTAGACAAATGGTGGGACAGACGACCCCTTTTGGCATGATTCAATCAAGTCATTAACTTACCGCTTTTGTCGCAAACACGATAACATCTCTTCATTGTCATCATTAAGGGGACAATTAAGGCCATGGGCGATTTGCATGGTAAGTTGCAACGAATGATTAGTCGCTGACCAATCAGACATGGCCGAGCCGGACATCAAAATGGCACGATGGAATAAACCTGCCAAAGATTATGGGGATGCAAAATAGACACACAAAAAAGAAGAAGAAAATAAGTACACACAGTACAGAACAAGGAAAGTTGTTAACATTTCCTACCTGAAGCAACGGGCGAGATCATCAGATAGTTGACACAGGCAGCACCCGTTGAATGACCCATTAAAGTGACACTGTCCTTATCGCCGCCAAAGGAGTGTATGTTCTCTTTTATCCAGTGCAGGGCAGCTATTTGGTCCAACAAACCAAAGTTGGCAACAGTATTTTCATTAATACTCGGTCGCATGAAGCCTGTTGGCCAGGACACCAACACAGAATGTACCGAAACAGCAAAAAGGAATGAAACGAAACAAAGCATAACAAAAAACAAAGGTTTTGTTAGAAAATGTCTTTTTCTAAGTTCAGGGGAAAAAGTCCATTGCAAAAACTTTACCTAAAATTCCAATACGATAGTTTACAGTAACTACGATAACTTCGCCGTAACTGGCCAGTACGGAGCCATCGTAGGCATTTCCGCTATTCCATTCAAATGATTCGCCATGTATGTACACAATAACCGGATACAAAGGACGATGTTCGTAGGAATCTTCTGAATCGAATGCGGCTGTGGTTGTTGTGGTGGTGGTGCTGCTGTTGCCACTGGCAGTTGGGCTCCGACCAGCAACATCATCACCATCGCCATTTGTATTTGGAACATAGACATTCAAATACAAACAGTCTTCACTTTCCGTTTTCAGATAGGGCAACAAACGTGTCAGGTGACGATAACGACTTTTGGACATTTTCGCTGTGCCTTGAGGAGACATATCCGGTAATTTTTGCGGGCACACTGGCGGCATGTGATGGGCCATTTTTAAGCCTTGCCATGGCAATGGGGTACCTAAACGATACAAACAAAAATAAAAAAATGAATAAATCAAATAAAATTATTTAAAACAAGCTTCTGAGTATAAAATAATGATTTCATGATTTCTTTTATATGAAATGTAATAATTTGGTAAATGTGTTTCGTGCTTCCAATAGCAATTCCGATTCCAGTCAATGACCTTCTACTACAAACCGTCATTTGTTGTCTTGTGCATTCATTTTTTGTTCCATTCGCATTTATTTGCGACTCTCGCTTTTATGATCCCTAATGCAGACACCAAGTCACCCACTTTCCTTTTAGCCAGTGACATCATGGCGTCAAACGTTATTGGAAACTTTTACTTGGCCAAAACCAAAAAAAGAGGCAACTGTCATTGATGGCGTTTGTCGGTTCGTCGAAAACATTGAACATCAAATCAGCGATACAAAGCACGTTTCATTGCTGTGGATTAGGGAATCCAAAGGAAAAGTTGGTGGACTTGGACGTGGCTGCTGTCGATGATGATGATGTTGGTGATTTTGATGGACGGTATAAATATTACAAATTCAAACTTGAAATTGATCAAACAAAGTCCTATTGATAGGCATGCCTATAGAATGCGGGGTCAAATTTGATGAAATGCATTACAGAGAATAGTAATGAGATTGAAATGGAATTTAGATTATATTAAAGAATTTAATATGACTTTTTATTCAGATGTTTAATAATTGCCGATAAAATGATTTTATTTGAAAAACATAATAAGTTGAGTTTGAGTCAGATTTTCAGGCTATAGAAACACACACCTTTGAGAGTTATAGTTAGTTAGTAAAACAATTACAACTACAAATAAGGTAACATAAGAGCTTGAGATTTGTTGTATGTGGCTTTGTCTATGATGAACAAACAGATGCAAAATACGTTTTATTTTAATTGGAAGCAGTGGATATGAGAAATGCTACAGCTCGGATTTTTAAACAAAATATTTAAATCTTTGAAGTAAATTTCGTATTCGATTTCCATGAAAGAAGCTATAATTCTAAATTTCTTCAAGATTGGTGGTTTTTTCCACTACTCTGGGTTACAAACATTCAAATTCGGGTTTAACCAAATCATGCATTTCTAAACTCGAATTAGGCTTAGCATCTGCCTTTATGGTTAGTCTGGATAGCTCCTGTGCGATGTTACGACTGCTAACATGCCAGTCAACTTCGATCGTTCGATTCGTTTTTATCACAATTTTTTAGGTGCATCCTTAACATCAATGAACGGAATCTACGAAACCAAAATTACACATGATTGACTGTTACAGTATCGGAACTATAAACACCATTCACAATTTTAGCCGCTTGGCTTGCATTCTTCTTTGACAAAATCGAAACGACATTAAGGAGCACTTGATTAAATAAATTAATTGCTAAGTTTATACGATTTTTCAATAATGCATTTTTCCTCAATCCTTTCTCGAGCTGACTTCAGTTTAGGTTGACCATAATTTTAAACACAACATAACAACAAATAAATATATAAAACTTATAAATATATATATATATGTGTTTGCGTTTATGTTTAACAAACCACATCAATGTTTATAACAAACTTTCCTAAACATTAACTTTTGATTTTCGATTCCGATATATATGAGGTATTTGGATGCTCTGTTGCAGGACTGAGTTTGACGATTGTTAGAACTTCTATTATACTGTATATTTTCAAACACAACAATAACTCACACACACAGACGCAAAATCTTAGGTTTAGAAAATCAAAAATGGCTGTAAGAGTGTAAGCCACATATCTGTATATTTGGGTATATATGCTTGTCTTAACCATATGAAGGTTGGATATAATTTTGCCCGTTTACAAATGAAAGTGAACAAATCCCTTTGTATTAATAACATTTTGTTTTTAAATACTGAGAAAAAATTTAACATAAATATAGGTATACTATTGCTTATTAGTTTTTTTTAGAATTTCTTTAGGAGAACACAATTTCTTAAATGGACTTGTTCAGTTTGCTTTGCAGAATTAAAAACAAAATTCAAATCTCCCTTGTTCCATATTATATTTGAGCTGTCTTTCTTAACGTATGAACTAAACACTTTAGAGATTAAACATTAAAGTTTTAACCACCAGCAAACTCAAGACTTTCTTTTGTTCTGCCAAAAATTAACAAACAGTTTAAACTGGCATGTGAAAACTTTAAATTAAAAGGGGAAATATTTATTTGAAAGTTTATAAAATTGTAATTAAAAAAAGAATGCAATTTTAAAGTGCATAAGGCATCCCCACACACACACACAGCTATAGCAAGGAATAACAAATTGAAATCAGAAATATAACTTTTACCAAAAATTTGTTTTTAATTCAACCAAAAAATCGGATTGAAAAGCTTCCATTAGTGGGAAGTTTGGAATAAAATGGCGTTGTCGATACCGAAAATTACTTTTTATTCTTTATATAAAAATAAAAAATATAAAAAAATATTGCCGCCCTCATTTCCCTTGGTAAGTGCAATTAATTAAGAAATTTCCAAAAATTAACAGGCTACTAAATTGCGATTAAAACCATGATAGTAACTTTAGTAGTTTTTTTAACCTAACCAGTGTTAGCATTTAGTGCACATATTTTTTTTATAAAAAATTGAAACTATTCACGTGATAAAGAACAGGAAAAAAAAACTACAAAAATTTCGACTATTTAAAGTAAATATTCAGGAATCCGTACATTGTGTGTGCTTTTTTATGTTGTTATATATACTTATAAGGCAGCAATGAAAAAATTGGTTTAATATTTAACTAGACAAAACAAGTGAAAAAAGCGGCCGGGCCGAACTTTGGATACCTTCCACCATATGTATGCTGACAAATACTTGGAATGAAAATATAGGGAACATACCAAAAATGGACCTATACCAATAATTCTACAAACCGATTTATGTAAACAATTATGTACGCCAAAATTTTAATGGATATTTCTCCTATAATCTGAAAAACCCAAAGCTTGGCTATGTCAATTTCGAACCCAATATTTTAGTTTTGTAGCTCAATGCTTTCCTTCAGGAGGTACCATTATATGGAGGAGATACTGGCCGATATATTTCATTATCGTTAGGTTCGAGTTTTTTTTTTATCACGATATCATTAGAAGGCGGAACGATTTCAATAAATAGCTACATCAACTTAGAATTCCATACTTTTTAGGGTAAAATCTGCGCTTTAGAACCCCAAAATACCGAAAATTGTGGGTACCGTTATATGGGTCTACCAGAAAAAGTGGACCTATATTTATAAATTTTAGTGGAGGGATTTGCTATCCAATAAGAAGTCAAAGTAGTTAATTACAGGCAATTCGGTCAAAAAAATTCGGTCGACCATACTATGGTGGAGGCTGTATAAATAGTATATATAACATATCATAGGATTCGGTGATCACATGCATGTTTAGCCCTTATGGAAGAAACGTGAAACCGTCTTAAAGTCCCTCCATGAGATAAACATTCATTATTTTGAATCGGTCAGGACTTTTATATGGGGACATGTATTTAAATGACATGGATTTTTAGCGAAATACCTAATCACAGCCCATTCAAGAGGAAAAAAATGCCGAAAGAGGAAAAAAAATGAAATCTCAATTGCGGCAATAAAATCAATCGACTACTCAACCTTGTTGAAATATCATTGTAAAAGATCATGGATAAATTAACACTGCTGAATCGGTTCATTTTGACAAGATATCAGTATTTGTATACTATACGGTGAGTATAAAGTGTATCTGGAGGAAAACTATTTTTTTATTTATAAAAATTTGACTTGGCAATATGACCTATTGTAGCTTTTACTTTAGATCATATGCAAAGTGGCATAACAATCAATGTTAGAATATTTCAAAGCAACTATGAACATTTCCCCTGAAGCAAATATTTGGGTATATATTTTTTATGACCGCCTCCTTTCAAGTTTCCCAACTGAATATTCTACACTTAGCACACTTTGCAATTGATCAATTAGTGGCTCATATAAAGTCATAAAGAATAGCCTTTATATGTTCATCTTTTTTTGCTGTTGTCTATGTGGCCACATATTTATAAGGTTTTCGAGATTTATTTTTTTTTGTTTTTGTACTACATACCTGGTGGCATAAAACGACGGCTACCCACTGGAGCTTCTGCATACGGTATACCCAGATATTGATCAACATCACGTATGCCCGCAGAGGGATGAAAATTACGTCTAATGCCCATAAGGCGACCCTGTTTGATGGTAATCTCTTTGGTGTATTGCAATTTTTCGGGCACAATGTGACGTCGTTCCGAAGGTGGTCCTTGTTGCTGTTGTTGTTTCGCTGAACCATAGCCATAGCCATTGTTGTTACTGGCGTTGGTGTTGCTGCTGCTGCTGCCATAGCCATAGTTGGAGAACGGATATACCATTGAAGTGGCTCGTGGATGTGGTGTGACCGGTAGAGAGGAGACAGCACGCTTTATAGTTGAGCTGGTTGAAGTGGCCATAAGATATGCATTATCGTTTGGTGATTTATTAATACTGCTGCTGAAGCTGTTGCCATTGCCATTGCTACCAGCTTTGTGGTTCCTTTTATCATCATTGGTGTGACTCTTTAAGAGTTGTTGCAGATTTTCTTTAAAGTCCTGTACCAAAATCTCGCCATCAATCTTTGGTGTTTTTTGTTTAATAGTTTTAATGCGGACCCTGTTGTGGTCGCTGGACTCACTGAGATTTCTAGATTTTCTTAAGTTCGAAACATGATTGGTTACATTCGCCTCATTACGGCTGGCATTGAATGCGATTTGCACATTCTGTTCGGGTAAAATGGTGTTTATTGAATTTTCTTTTATGACTTCCGCCAACAGGCCATGTTCTTTGTCTGCTCCAGTGGCATTTTGGAGATCTCTTCTGTTTATTTCGGTAACTAGGTTTTCAACGTCACCTATTACTTCCTCTGTTGGCCTCACAGGAAAACGACGTTTTGCATCGGTTTTTTGTGGCTGTCGTTGAAATATACCGCCAGCTACATCTGGTCGCTGTTGCAAAGGCACATTGGCCGCCTCAACACTCGTGTTCCTTAATTGATGGGACTGCTGATGTATGCTGACAAATGTCAGACAGACTAACCAAAATGTTGTTGTCAAATGTTTCACATACATCTTTCTTCGTTGTTCGTTTCGTTCACTTATTTTATATGGGTATTTTTATTTGGCTTTATTTTTATTCTCTTCCAGTTGGGGAGTTTTCGTTGTAACACCAAATAAATTGGATATTTTCTTTTATTTATATCTTTTTTTAGTTGTGGACATTTGTGTTTTATTGTACACTATTAAAATTCCATTCATTTTTATGCAGATGTCTATTGTTGTTGTTTTTTTATTAAATTTTATTTAAATGTGTATACATTGGTTTTTGTTTTAAAAATTATATGTCAAGGCATGTAGAATATTTCCGATTAATTATTTAGGTTTAAAAAAAACATAGTTTTTTTTTGGTTTTAAAGATAAGTTTTCCATTAAAATTAAGTTATTCGAAATAGCTAATCATAAAATTAAAAAAAAAACAATTTTTGTGGAGGAATGACGGACATTTAAAATAGATTTCATAAATCATTCATAAGTAATTCCCTTCAAAGGTATTTCTATTAGCTAAAGAAATGAAAAAATGTGTCGTGGAATTCATGATATTTTTAAATTATTCACTTAAGACCTTTTGAAATGTTTTCAAGGAGAATGAGAGCGTATATTCTCAAGATATCCATAAAAGTTTATATATTGTTTTCATCGGGAGGAAATTTTGGACGTCAAATGTTTAATGGAGAAAATATATCGATATTGAATACATTTTACATTACATTTTTTTGTTTTTCTCAAATATAAAGAAGTTATCTGGTTCTTTATTTTCTACAACAAAAATATTCGTTTAACTGTAATTACAATCGGTGAATTTAATTTTTTTATTTTTTTTTAACACATTAAATACAGAAAAATTAGTTTTAATAAAATTAGCTCGAGCCGAACAAAATAATAATCTAATTATTTTTAAATAAAAAATTCAAAGTTGGGCAAAATGGGTCTACTTCGAAAAATGGGGCAATAGAAAATATATTTCTTCTATATTTCACCACTTTGGGTATATTCTACATATGTCACCTAACAGACGTCGCCTTTTCGAAAGAACATTGACATGCTTTCCTGGAACCTATGCTAAATTTCATTTCATATGGGCAAGTTTAGAGTCGTTTGCGTACAATGGAAGAAATTTGTAAAAATCTATTTATAGCAAAATTGATACACGCTATTCGGTATACCGAACTCTTCAAAATTTAATCTCAATCAGAAACCCGTTTGAAATATATCATGAACACCTCATTATAGACTCAATTCAGTACGCTGTGCCAAATTTCGTGCAAATCGAAAGACATATAAGGACTTTGGTGCACCATTTCTACTAAATCTTACGAAAATATATATGGGAGCTATATCTAAATCTGAACCGATTTTCACGAAACCTAGCACACCCATATGAATTGCTTTAAATCAAATGGAAGTTTTACACCAATATATAATGTTATGGCAAAATTCAATGCCTATTTTAATTTCAGATTTAAAAAAAAATATATTATGTATATTGACTTGCCTTTATGGCTAACCTAACTATAAAACACAATAAACCATTGTTAACCCCATTCAAATTAAATGGACAATTCAAATTATGAATAAATTTTTAATTGCCATTGAAAATGTTTTTTTCACTGTAAATGCATCCATTGAAATACTGGACATTTCCTACAAAAAGTGTTTACCATTAGTTTTGTCCAGTTATTTAAATTTGTTTTCTTTTGTTTTTTTTTTATTATAAAAAAGTAGAACACAATAATAACACCAATAAAAACATTCGACTAACCATTTTATGTAGCCGAATATTTATTAAATTCATTTGCGATGTCATTCAGTCAGTTAACGTGTTAAACTGTTCAGAAAATGGTTTTTGTGTGCAGCCGACATTTATTGCATTTGCTAAAAAACTAATTTTATAAAAATAAATAAATATTTTTTGTGATGAGATTTTTTGTTTTACTCAAAATAAAAACCAAAAGTAAATGCAACACACAAACAACAAACATACGGAACAAAAATAACAAAGACAGCAAGCTAACAAATGGTGTAATTTCTATTTTCGAGTTTTCTATGCGAAATAATAAAAAAAAAAACAAAATGAAATCAACGCGATTTATTTTTGGTATCTCATTTGCAACAAAAAAATATTTAAAAATAAATTGAAATAGTATTTCTCTTTGATACGATGTATAAATTTAAAATAGTTCACTAACCCCAAAAATTCTTTTATGCTAATAAAACATGTAAAATTCGGTTCTCCTCGCATCGCCTCTCCTCAGTACGTTGATGATGCTTCTGGTGCTGCTGCTGCCGTTGATGATGCCTGCCAGTAGATAGTGTCAATGTAGCGGACAAACACACACACGCTCGTACTAAGTATATTTAGAAGCAATCATGCACATACCTACCACATACGACGTGAGGGCAACTGTGTGTGCATGAATGCGTTTTTAGGGGGAATCGAGACACAGTGTCATTGAAATAGTTTTATAAATAAATTGAAAATTTTATTAATTTTCTATTTCCAAGTCAAACGCTCCATTTAGTGTCATAAATCAGTCAATTGAATGAATTATTGGAACATATGAGGAAAATTAAAACGCAATCACACACACACACACACACACAAGAAAATTTAAGTATTGAGTTTTTAAAAATTTCAATAATAGAGAATGCAATGTGTTAGAAAAGAAATAAAAAACTCATTATGAAAATGGAAATAAATAATTTTTTCAGGACAGTTATTATATCCCTAGTTTATACCTTACACCACTCTAGAGTATAGGGTTTGTCCGATCAACTCGAAATTTAGCATGGGCTACCGGCTTGAGACTATATGCAAAACTATCGGTTTACATATTTCGGTCGTTCAAAATCAACGTCACTCATGTTATATTTTCTATAGCATGAGTGACGTTGACCGGGCTACCGACTTAAGGCTAGAATGCAGTTTGTAAAAATTGGTTTGGATTTACATAAATCTCCCATATATTATATTTTGTCCTCATAGGCTAATCATTTACGTCTAGAATATGCTTAAATCGGTTCAAATTTAAATATTACTTCCATGAACCGTGTTTACTGTTTTCAAGGGTGCATTTTATTGAAATAGACAAATTTTCACAAAATATAGGATGAAATTTAGCACAGTTCATTTTTTTTTTGTCCCGAGGACAAATCTTATTGAAATTGGAGAACACCGATTCAGATTTAGATAAAGCTCCCATATATAGCTTCGCCCGATTTCATGCAAATGATGCACCAAACTCCCAATAAGACACAATTGTGTCTCAATCAGACAAACCTTGGGTGTTTGGTGTAACATTTACCTAAAATCGGCCGAAAGTATATTTGGGAGCTATATTTTCTGGAAACCGGTTCTGATTTAGATATATATACTTTCATCCGATTTAACCTAAATGGTATACTAAATAACAAAAGATTTAACGATTTGGGTGAATTTCTGCACAACGTATAAAGTTGGAGCTACGATAACTTGTATTGGATTTTGTAAAAATATTCAGACTTATATATAACCCCTATATATTTTCGTCTGAGTACGAGTAGTGTACATTTTGCAAAATCTCTTTGCCTGGTTGTCTCTCATAGATACCATAGACGTGTATGTATGCAAGTGTTTATATTATTTTAGATGCAAAAAAGTGTTTGTTGTCGAACTACTCTATGAGTATTTGTGTTTTCTTTATAAATAGGACAACATTGGGGAACACACACAAAACCATGCATATAAATAGGAACACAGAAAACGTCAGCGTCTTAGATGCGCCTTTTTTCTCTCCTTTGTTACAATGGGTGTTTGTTATCTCCCCATGTTTTCCTGTGACTGCGGCATCTTTTTCTTTAATCTGACTTTTGACTTTGATTCCTTAACTGATGAATAATTTTGTTTTTTTTTCTTTTTATCGGTTTATCGAATGTTTCGTCAAGTTTGTTATTGTCATTAGTCTCGTTTCCTTTTTTGTATAGCAATTAATGCATATTGGCTAGCTTATTAAAATTCATTTAAATTAGTAAAAGAAACTTGTTTATTCTTCGTGCTTTGTTTGAAGCTAAAGGCGAAGAGTATAACTTGACTTAGAAAAGTAATGTATTGAAATAATATAAGGAATAAGGAATTTATATGATTGTCCTTGTTGGAAATATAAGAATAAAAGGAGCATAGCATAGCATTTTTATA